TCCTCCGCCTCATTGTCCTGCCTCATCCTCCTCCTCCTCGTTCTCCTCCTCCTCCCCACCTCCTCCTCCTCCTCCTCCTCCTCCTCCTCCTCCTCCTCCTCCTCCTCCTCCCCCTCCTGATCCTCCTCCTCCGCTTCCTCCTCATCTTCCTCCTCCCCCCTCATCCTCTTCCTCCTCCTCCTCCGCATCTTCCTCATCCTCCTCCTCTTCCTCTTCCAGCGCGTCCTGCGCCTCCCCCCATCCTCCCTCCTCCTCCGCTTATTCCTCCTCCTCCTCCTCATCCTCCTCATCCCCCCTCCAACTCCTGCTCCTCCCCCCCCCGCCCCTCCCCCTCCTCCTCCTCCTCCTCCTCCTCCTCTCCTCCTCCTACCTCCTCCCTCCTACCCTCCTCTCGTTCTCCTCCTCCCCCTCCTCCACCTCCTCCTCCTCCTCGTCCTCGTCAATCGTCCTCCTCCGCCCCGTCCTCCCATCCCCTCGTCCTCCTCTCCTTCCTCCTCTCCTGCTCCTCCTCCTCCTCCCAGCCTCTTCCTGCGCCGCCTCCTCCTCCTCCTGCTCCTCCTCCTCTTTCCTCCTCTCCTCTTCCTCCTCCGTGTCCTCCCCTCTCTCTCGCTTACAACGCATGTGTTACATCGCCTCCGCATGGTTGCCTTCCTCTCCTCATCCTCCTCCCCCTCCTCCTCCTCCCCCCCTCCTCCTCCCTCCTCCTCCTCCTCCTCCTCCTCCTCATCCTCCTCTTCCTCATCCTCCTCCTCCCCCGCCTCTTCCCCCTCCTCCACGTACCCCCCCCCCCCCTATCCTGCATGTTCGTCCCCCTCCTCTTCCTCCTCCTCCTCTCCTCCTCATCCTCCTCCTTCTCATCCTCATCCTCCTCATCATCAGTATCATCATCATCATCATCATCATATCATCATCATCATCATCATCATCATCATCATCATCATCTCATCATCATCATCATCATCATCATCATCATCATCATCATTCATTCATCAGCATCAGCATCATCATCATCATCATCAGCATCAGCATCAGCATCAGCATCAGCATCATCATCATCAGCATCATCATCATCATCAGCATCATCATCATCAGCAGCATCATCATCATGATCATCAGCAGCATCATCATCATCATCAGCAGCAGCAGCATCAGCATCAGCATCAGCATCATCATCATCAGCAGCAGCAGTAGCAGCATCGTCATCAGCAACATCAGCATAATCGTCCCCCATCCTCTTCTCCGTATGTATTAATGCTGCTGTGAGTATAACTAGTAGTAGTGAAACTGTTAGTACTAGTATTACTATGCTCATGTGGGATTAGTGGTACTCGTATCATGGGTAGTATTAGCAGTCTTCTTTGTAGTGTCCGTAATAGTAGTGCTGTTATTATTGTTAGTGTCATCATCACCATCAGCAGCATCATCATCAGCATCAGCATCAGCATCATCATTATTATTATCATAGTATAATTCTACGAATTGGGAAACCATGCTTATTCGTACTATCAATAGTGTCAATGTTATTATTCGTATGCTTATTATGCAAATTAGTTCTCTGTTTCGCCGTCTTGGTGTTAGTACTGTGATTCGCATTATGAGTCTTAGTCTTATTATTCATGGCATTCGTAACATTCGTACGTTTATTATTACTCGCCTTCTTCGTGTTAGTTCCTTTGATGTGTATATGATTGTAAATATTATGATTCGTCTTATGATTAATACTAATCCTCTTCCTCCTCCCCCCCTTCTCCTCCTCCTCATCCTCATCCTCGTCCACCTCCTCCTCCTCATCATCCTCGTCCTCCTTCTCCTCCTCCTCTTCCTCCTCCTCTTCCCCCTCCTCCTCTTCCTCCTCCTCTTCCTCCTCCTCCACTTCCTCCTCCTCCTCCTCTTCCTCCTCACCCTCATCCTCCTCCGCATCCTCCTCCTCCCTCTCCTACTCGTCCTCCTCCTCCTCCTCCTCCGCCTCCTCCTCCTCCTCTTCCCATTCCTTCTCCTCCTCCTCGTCATCATCCTCCTGCTGGCGTTCTCTCTCGTCCGCCCCGTACCGGGTCGGTTCGGATTAGCGCGAGAGGGTCGAAGCGCAGAATGGGAGCAAAGATGGATGCAGCAGCAGACGCAAGCGGAACCGCCTCGAACCAAGAAGAAGCGCAACTCTCCGCTAGGAGAGGGGTCGTGGACATCCGGCTACTATTATTCACAGCTAGTGGACACTGCTAGAAAGGAAAGATGGAAGACGAACATAACCAGGAATATGGGAGAGCCTTCCCCATATGTACAAACTCGATTACAGCCCAAGGCGCGACATGCGTCGTAAAAGTAGCAGCAGTAGCAGCAGCAGCAGTAGTAGTAGCAATATAAGTAGTGGTGGTAGTAGCAGTGGTATTGTTATTAGTAGTAGTAGTAGTAGTAGTAGTAGTAGTAGTAGTAGTAGTAGTAGTAGTAGTAGTAGTAGTAGTAGTAGTAGTAGTAGTAGTAGTCGTAGTAGTAGTCAGTAGTAGTATTAGTAGCAGCAGCAGCAGCAGCAGCAGCAGTAGAGGTGTATGGTGTGGAGTGGTGGTGGTATGGTAGTAGAGTAGTAAGTAGTAGAGTAGTATCAGCTGTAGTAGTAGTAAGCAGCAGCAAGTAATATAGTATAGCAGCACAGCAGCAGGATAGTAGTATAGTAGTAGTAGTAGTAGTAGTAGTAGTACTAAGTACTAATATAGTAGTAATAGTAGTAGTAGTAGTAGTAGTATATGTAGTATATAGTAGTAGAAGTAATATAGTGGTTGGTGTGTGGTGTGTGGTGGGTGTGGTGGTGGTGGTGGTGGTGTTGTGGTGAGGTGGGGGGGTCGAGTAGTATATAGTACAGCCAGTAGTAATATATTGATTATATATAGTAGTAGTATAGTAGTAGTAGATAACAGCTCAGCAGCAGCAGCACATCAGTATCATAGTAGTATAGTCGTAGTACAAGTAGTAATACGAGTAGTAGGAGTAGTCGTAGTCGTAGTCGTAGTAGTCGTAGTAGTCGTAGTAGTAGTAGTAGTAGTAGTAGTAGTAGTAGTAGTAGTAGTAGTAGTAGTAGTAGTAGTAGTGGTAGTAGTAGTAGTAGTAGTAGTCATAATAAGAATAGTCGCAGCAACGGTAGTAGTAGTCGTCGTCGTCGTCGTCCCCCCAATAGTAGTCGTAGCAGTACTCGGAGTCGTAGTAATACTGGTAGTAGTCGTAGTCGTAGTCCTGTTCGTAGTAGTAGTAGTAGTAGTAGTAGTAGTAGTAGTAGTAGTAGTAGTAGTAGTCGTAGTAGTAGTAGTAATAGTAGTAGTAGTAGTAGTAGTAGGAGGAATTGTCGCAGGAGACATAATAATGAAACACTCCGCTTGCGAGCGGCTGCTACGCTGAGGACAATGGCCACGGCAAGGATAATAGACACTGCGACAAGACTGGCGGCACGTCCGCCAAAGAAAGAACAAAACGAGCACCTCCTGGTAGATGTACCCTTCTGCAAGCCAACAGCCAGGTCTCCCTCGACATGCCCGCTTGCACAGACCAGAAGCTGCTGGTTAGGAGGGACCGCACCATTTGCGTCGCTATCACACGGGAGGCTTACAATAGTCTTCCCAGGCATGGTCCTCACGAGATGATCCATCGCCAGCCGCTGCGAGAACGAAATGGATCACCGGTCCTTCCTCTGGAGCGTGACATGACATGACCGAGACCGAAAGATCGATTCGGATTTTCGGGACATTCGGTGTTGACTTGTTCACGAAACATGGTGCCTTGTTTTCGGGACCGATGCGCGCATGCGAGTCGGGAACCAGTGTACGGTCGGAAACAAGTCATGGCATCCAGTGTTTCTACATGTGCGCATACAAGAGGGCGCGACACTGTCAGGACGTACTCAGAGGAAGAACAGACTGCTACTCGTCTTGAGCAATCTTTGAGGGAGGGAGGAAGGAGCGAGGAACGAGGGAGCCTCCGAGGGCAGGAAGAGGGGGGCCGAGGACAGGATCGAGGAAGGAAGGATCGAGGGAGGATGAAGGGACAGAGGGGGGGAGAAGGGCGGGATGAAGGGAGGCTGGCGGACCGCCCCCCCTTCCCTCGGCGTCCTGTTTCCTCGCCCCACAGGATCGAGGAAGAGGGAGGATCGAGGGAGGAACGAGGAAGGAAGAATCGAGGCAGGATGAAAGGACAGAGGGCGGGAGAAGGGCGGGATGAAGGGAGGCTGGCGTACCGCCCCCCCTCCTCCTCCATCGTTTTCCTCCTCCTCTCCTCTCCTCCTCTCCTCCTCCCTCCTCCCTCCTCCTCCTCCCCTCCTTTCCCTCCTCCCTCACAATTACACATATGAAAATACTCTCCCACTTCCCCTGATGGCGTCCCGAAGATATCCGACACCCCCCCGCGTACTGTTTTTTTACACACAGGATTCCCGGGAAACGGGTTTTCGCTTGCGTTTTTTTTCAAAAATGCTGCTCTCGCTGAGGCGCCGGCCTCATTTCTGCTCCCGAATCGTTCCGAATCGTGCCCCCGCTGCAGCGTGGGCCTCATTTTCGGATCGGTGTTTGGCCTCCGTCGTTCAGGATGGCGTTCTCGCCCCAGCGCGGGCCTCTTTCTCGCGCGCCCATCCGCCCGCCACCACCGCGCCGCAACACCACCACCACCACCACCACCACCACCACCACCACCAACCACCACCCAGCAGCACCACCACCACCACCACCACCAACACCACCACAACCACGCACACACGCACGCACGCACGCACGCGCACCACCACCCACTACGCACGCGCGCGCGGAGCCACAGGTCCGCTACGACACGCGTCCGCGGATAGAGAAAATCAGCGCCATGGTAAGGGATGGGAGGGAGGGGTAGGACGTCAGATATGACGCGAGCGCACCTAGCTTGTCCTCCACCTCCTCCTCCACCTCCTCCTCCTCCTCCTCCTCTTCCTCCTCCTCCGCCTCCTCCTCCTCCACCTCCTCCTCCTCCTCCTCCTCCTCCCTTCCCTCAGCGTCCTGTCTCCTCGCCCCACAGCTCGTCCGTGAGCTCGTGGTGCTGCAGCTCCAGGGCGCGAACCCGCACCTCCGCGTCGGCGCGAGCCTGCCCGACCTGGCGCGCCCGGCCGCACCACCGCCCGCCTTTTCGGAGCTCCGACGACGTGACGCTGTCCGATCCCGCCTCCCCTTCCCCCTCCTCCTCCTCCTCCTCCTCCGCCTCCTCCCCTCATTTCTCCTCCGCCCTCCTCCTCCTCTCCTCCTCCGCCTCCTCCTCCTCCTCCGCCTCCTCCTCCTCCTCCTCCTCCGCCCTCCTCCTTCTCCTCCTCCTCCTCGCCCTCTTCTTACTATTATTATTTGTCATGGTATTATTATGTGTAGTGGACATAGTACTCTCTTATTATGATGGGTATTAGTATTCGTCTTAGTGCTATTATTAGTCTTTGTCTTATTATTAATATTTTCAATAATAGTATTATTCGTAGTCTTATGGTGATTATTAATCATCGTTGTTAAAATTCGTCTTCTCAGTCTTATCATTCTTATTCGTATTCGTCTTAGTATTAGTCTTCTTCTTCCTCCTCCTCCTCCTCCTCCTGCCCCAATGTGTCGGTGAGGCGGGTCAGGCGTTTCGCACGAGTCTTCCTCGCCATGCATCACCCTGAAAACTGGAGTTTACAACAGCTTCGACGATGGAAGGCTGGTGGTTTTGTAATTGCGGCTCTCGCCGTAGCGCCGCGCACATTCGTGTTAAAAACTCGTTGCAGTTTCACGGATGGACGGAGGGTCGTTTTCAACACGTGGCTCTCTCCATTGCGCCGCGCACATTCGCCTTACAAGATCGTATCAGCTTCAAGGTTGGAGGGCAACTCCTTTTCAGAATGTGGTGCTCGCCTTAACGCCGCGCACATTTGTATTAACAATGTGCAACAGTTGGGAGTATCCCTTGGGATGAAGTCCCAGACATTGCGTTCTGGCACGATGTGGGATTGTCATGACACAACGCCTACGTAGATACACAGTAGTGAAGTCCCAGGAATGGTGTTCTAGAACGTGATATGACAGTCAAGGCGCAACAACCACGTTGACTCGCGGCGTTGAAGTCCACGAAACGGTTTCTCGGCACGATTGACAATTCTCAGACGGCTGTCTTTCAATTGGGCACTTCCCGCTGAAAGATGCTCGTAGGGCTCCATGACAAGGGAATGTGGTGGGAGGGTTTACTGTAACATCGTTGATTCAAGTGGGGTCTACACTTATCCTCCTCCTCCTCCTCGGAGGGGTGGGGAGAGTGGAGTGGGGAAGGAGGGAGGATGAAGGAGGAGGGAGGAGGGGAAGGGAGGCGGGGGAGGAGGGAAGGGAGGGGGGGGAGGGCGGAGGAGGGAGGAGGGAGGGGAAGGGAGGTGGGGCCTTCAGTGTGATCTCGTCCAGGCGGGCCTCCACTGCCTCCCTCTGGATCTCCGCCTCCTGCGCGGGCGGGCAGGGGGGGAGGGGGGGCGGGGCGAGGCGAGGAGGGCGAGGAGGGCGAGGCGGCCGAGGGCGAGGAGGGCGAAGGGGGAGGAGGGCGAGGCGGGGAGGAGGGCGAGGCCAGGGGGGGGGGGGGGGCGAGGGCGAGGGCGAGTGCGAGGGCGAGGAGGACGGAGGGCGAGTCGGGTGGGTGCGAGGAGGGCGCGGATGAGGAGGGCGGGGAGGAGGGCGAGGTCGGCGATGAGGACGAGCGAGAAGAGGAGGACGACGACAGAGAGAAGGGCGGGGAGGAGGAATCTCACCAGCCCTTTAGGGAGTGATTGGCATAGCGGGCTTCCTCTTCCAAACCCCTCTTCCCCTTCGGGGAGGAGTCTACCCCTCCCCCTGACCCGCGCCTACCCCTGGACCTGGACGAGGCGTTTGGCGAGGTGGCAGAGGGTATTGCTTGGCCTCGGCGAGAAACCCAGAATCATGGATGTCAATAAGGTGTTGGACACATGTTGGCATCCTGGGGGGGGAACCCTAATTTTCTACTGGCCCTCCTTAGATCGATCTCTTCCAAGATGGCCCCCGAGGCTTCCAAGGGTACCCCAACAAGGCCCCAAGAGGTGTATTATTACCCAGCCCTTTACTCCGCTGCATGGTCCTCCACATGCCTGATCAGGGCAACTCGTCGGGGCGTCGAATGTGTAGAGGAGGGCGAAGGCGAGGAGGTGAAGGAGGGAGAGGTGGAGGATGAGGAGAAGGAGCAGGAGGAGGAAAAGACTACCCATCTGTAGAGGGACGGCCGAGGATCGAGAGAGAGGGAGGGAAACAAGGAGAGAAAGAGGGAGAGAGAGAGAGAGAGAGAACAAAGAGAGAGAGAGAGAGTAAGAGAGGATCGAGAGAGAGAGAAGCAAAGAGAGAGAGGGAGAATAAGAGAGGAAACATTAGATCTATCCGCCACCGTGCCTCTGGCACGAAGTGGAGTGCCCCAAGGCTCATGCAGCAATGAGAAGTAGACGCTGTGCTGCTGCTGCTGCTGCTGCTGCTGCTGCAGCAAGTGTCAGTCTAAGGGCCCGGACCACTCGTGTTCCAAGTCTTTCTGGGGGGTTCCGAGCTGGCCCCAGTGAGTTCTGAGGTGTTTCCTGCGCCTCCTGTGGACGCTGCGGCACCCCCCCAAAGCGACCTCCCGAACCCTCCCATGAGTCCAAGAGGACCCCGGGTCGCCGAACGATCGCTCCAAGGCGCCCCAGATGGCCTCAAGATGGCCCAAGAGGCCTCAGAAACGCCAGATGAGGCCTCCAGGAGGCCTCCCGAGAAGGATGGTGGAGAACACACAAAATAGTATAGTGGACATGTTCCTGGCCCCTAAGCGACGACGATGAGGACGACAACGACGACGACCACCACCACCACCACCACGACGACGAGGATGACGACGACGACGACGACGACGACGACGAAAACGACGAAAACGACGACGACGACGACGACGACGACGACGACGACGACGACGACCGACGATCCTCGACGATCGACAACGATCGACGACGACGACGACGACGACGACGACGACGACGACGACCGACCGACGATCCACCACGATCGACCACGATCGACGACGATGACGAAGACGACGACGACAACGACAACGACAACGGCGGCGGCGGCGGCGGCGGTAGCGGCGGCGGCGGCAGCGGCGACGACGACGACGACGACGGCGGCAGTCCTCCGTCACGTGGTTCAGCTCCGCGGCCGTGCGGTCCACGCTGCGCTGCAGGTGGTGCAGCGCCGACTCCTGGGGGGCCGACCGACGGCCCCGGCGGTCCGGAGGCCCCACTCGCAGGGCTTGGCGGGCGGAGGGGGCCATGGGTGAAGGGGCCTTGGGACACACAAACAAGTACACACAGATAACAGGATTCCCCATATTTTCACATGAAGGGGAACTGGGACACACAAATAAATGAACACAAATAACCAGATTCCCCATATTTTCCCATATTTTCTGGGTTTCTGTCTTCCCCACCACTTCCCATATGTTCCATATTTTCTGGGGAATCGACGATTAATTGTGTCTGTGTGTTTTTTCCCCTCCTGATCATATACTTTCTGGGTTTTTGCCTTTCCCCCCACTTCCCATATTTTCCTGGAAGCCCACGATTACTTGTGTCTGTGTGTTGCTCCCCCTCCTTGAATGAGGCCCTGGCGCCGCAACTGTGTTCCACTGCGGGTGATCTTGCCCCGTCTCGGGCTCCAGAACCCTCGCGGATCGACAAAAAAATGGCGCAGAGAGATGGGGTCCAGTCGAAAGCTGGGCGAGGGCTGCTGAAACCGTGGCTGCTAAAACGGCCCTCCCAGAAGGATAAAACAGCTTCCCGGAATGAGGCGCGGCACGCGAAACAGCCAACGGGCTTCTTCCCGGAAGGACGAAGACAACTTCCCGGAGGTCGATTTTAGCAGCCACGGATTTAGCAGCCCTTGCCCGGCTTCCGATCCAGGGATGCGGCCCGGGTCCCTTTGAGACGCTCCAGATGTGTTCATGGCGGCGGGCCTCAGGGGAGGAGGGAAGGGGCGAGGAGGAGGAGGAGAGGGCGAGAAGAGCGACGATGGCGAGGCGAGGAGGGCGATTGGGAGAGCAGGGGAGGGCGAGGGCGAGGGGAGCAGGGCTCGCCCAAAACGGTGCTTGCCGCTTCCGCTTGTCTTCGTTGTCCCCAGTTGTGTCTTCAGTCCAGATCTGCTGCAGAACGACATCGGAACGAAAACGGACCGCAACCCCTCATTGGGAGGGCAGGGGAGGGCGAGGACGAGGGGAAGAGGGCGAGGAAGAACGCGGATTGCGAGATGAGAAAAAGCACTTTCTGTGATCGCTTGTACGGTCCCCCCGGGTTCGGAATCCGGGGGGGGGCGACGACGAATGCGTCGTGCTCGGCGTCCGCGTAGTAGTCGCCGTCGCCAGCGTCGGCTTCGGTGTCGTGCTCGGCGTCGGTGTCGCGTTCATCGTCATCGTCATCGTCGGCGGCGTCGGAGTCGGCGTCGTCATCGTCGACGTCGGTGTCGGCGTCGGTGTCGGCGTCGGCGTCGGCGTCGGCGTCGGCGTCGGTGTCGGTGTCGGTGTCGGCGCGGGGCGTCGTTATCGTCGTCGTCGTCGTCGTCGGTGTCGGCATCGGCGTCGGCATCGGCGTCGGCGCCGGCGTCGTTGTCGGCGTCGTGCTCAGTGTCCTGTTCGGCGTCGTGCCCGGCGTCGTCATCGTCATCGTCGGCGTCGGCGTCGGTGTTGGCGTCGTATTCGGCGTCGGCGTCGTCGACGCCGTGATCGGCGTCGTGCTCGGAGTCGTCGTCATCGTCGGCGTCGGCGTCGGCGTCGGCGTCGGCGTCGGCGTCGGCGTCAGCGCCGGCGCCAGCGCCGGCGCCGGCGTCGGCGTCGTCGGCGTCGAGCTCGACATCGTCATCGGCGTCGTGCTCGGCGTCGGGTTCGGCGTCGTCATCGTCGCCAGCGTCAGCGTCGGCGTCGTGCTCGGCGTCGTCGTCGGCGTCAAGGTAGCCGTCGTCGTCGTCGTCGTCGTCGTCGTCGTCGGCGGCGGCGGCGTCGGCGTCGGCGTCGTCGTCGACGTCAGCGTCGGCGTCGTTCTCGGCGTCGTGCTCTTCGTCGGCGTCGGCGAAGTCGTCGGCGCTGGAGCCGCCGTCGGCGTCGTCGTCGGCGTTAGCGTCGTCGGCGTCGTGCTGGGCGTCGTGCTCGGCGTCGTGCTCGGCGTCGTCGTCGTCGTCGTCGCCGTGGCCGGTGTCGGCGTCGTGATCGGCGTCGTTGCCAGCGTCGGCATCGTCGGCGGCGTCGGCGTCGCCGTCGTCATCGTCGTCGACGTCGGCGTCGGCGTCGTGATCGGCGTCGTTCGGGATCGGCGCCGTGCTCTTCGTCGACGTGCTCGGCGTCGGCGAAGTCGTCGCCGTCGCCGTCGCCGGCTTCGGTGTCGTGCTCGGCGTCGTCGTCGTCGTTGGCGTCATCTCTATCGTCGGCGGCGTCGTGCTCGGCGTCGTGCTCGGCATCGTGCTCGGCGTCGTGCTCGGCGTCGTCGTCGTCGTCGTCGCCGTCGCCGTCGCCGATGTCGTCGTCGGCGTCGTGATCGGCGTCGTTGCCGGCGTCGGCGTGTCGCGGCGGCGTCGGCGTCGGCGTCGTCATCGTCGTCGACGTCGGCGTCGGCGTCGTGATCGGCGTCGTTCGTGCTCGGCGCCGTGCTCTTCGTCGGCGTCGGCGACGTCGTCGTCGTCGTCGGCATCGGCGTCGGCGTCAGCGTCGTTGTCGGCGTCGGCGTCGGCGTCGGCATCGTGCTCGGCGTCGTGCTCGGCATCGTGCTCGGCGTCGTCGTCGTCGACGCCGTCGGCGTCGTGCTCGTCGTGGTGCTCGGCGGCGTCGTCATCGTAGTCGTAGTCGTCGGCGTCGCCGTTGGCGTCGGCGTCGGCGTCGGCGTCGGCATCGTCGTCGTCGGCGCGTTCTCGTCATCGTTGTTGCCTTCGCTTTCGGCGACGCCGCTGTCGTGTCGTCGTCGTCGTCGTCGCCTTTCCCCCGCTCCCTCTGGGTTCAGACCCGGGGGGGCGGGGGGGGGTCGTTTGCCCCCCCCCCGCGGTTCGGTTCCTACGAGGGGGGGCTCGCACCACTCCGCGGGTTCGAGCGAACCCGGGGGGGGAGGGGGCATTTCTGTCCAAGCAGGCGCCCGCGGAACGCGGTCTCTCCGAGCTGGGGACCCCTCGCAAGAGCTTCGCGGGCGGGGGGGGGGCTAACAAGAGTTGTTCGGATGGTTTCGGTGGCTCCTGTGGGGTCCTCTCGCACCAAAAAATGAAGGTTTCGCTGCTTACTGTAGGATTTGATCGCCACGCCGTGCAGCAGCCGCGCCTCGCCGAGGGCCTTCCAGGGGTGCCAGAATCGTTCCAAACAGCCGCTGGACGTCCAAACAGCCGCTGGACGCCCGCCTTATGACCCGAAAGCCTAGATCCTAACGAATTGCAGCAAAATGAAGACTTGCCATGGGGAACCGGTCGGGACTTCCAGAACCATGTATTGGAATGAACTTGGCGCGACCCGAAGTAGGAGTCGTCAGTCTTCCAATAATTTCAAAGATGGCTCTGAGCAATGCAAAGCAATGCTTGGCAGCGTTTTGCTTGGATTCGCTGCTCGACATTGCTTACCCGTCGGTCGGAAGAAGTAGGTAGAAACATGAAGTAGGGAGGCGGATATAGTAGATTAGGTCCAGGTCCTCCTAGAGAATTCGCCGGCCCAACGGGCCAGAGGCGTGCTGAGATCTCCGGAACTACTTAACAATATTTCTAGCTCGCGCGCGCGGGGCGGCCCCTGGGGGGCCCCAGACGAAAAGTACCCCGGCTGATCCCCGGCCGGGTCCCGGGCGATCCCCAGGGGGCAGGCAATTTTTCGCCACCCCTCACGAGGATCGTGGCCTCCGAGGGGGGGGCTGCCATCGACTACCCCCCCTCCCACCCCTCCAAGAGCTCCCCAAGAGGCCCCAGGGGAGCCCAATACGCCGCCAAGGAGCCCCAAGACGCGCCCAAGAAGCACCCAAGAAGCCCCCAAGACGGCCCCAAGAGGACCCAAATAGCGCTCCAGGGCCGGCGGAATGAGCGAAGCGATTAAATGACAAAACTCGGCAAAAGCATGCCGATTCTTGAAGTAGGAAAGCGCTTGAAGTAGATGGGGATCTGGGCGTCCAAAAACGCCTACTTTCAACGACCGGCGTGTAGCAGTTCCCGGCATCGCTCGAAAGCTGCGCAGCAGGCGGCCCCCCAAAGCAGCCTCGGGGCCTCGGCTGGACCCGCGGAGCCCACGAGAGGGGCCACGAGCGCAGCCGGCAGCCCCCCCAAGCAGCCGCGAGTTCTCGAGGGCTCCCAACTTCGCGCTTCGCGCCGCGCGAAGCGCGAAGTGCGAATGACTTCGCGCTCTCGCGCCGCCTCCCAGGGGAGAAGAGGAGGAGGAGGAGGAATCCGAGCCGAACCGCGGAGCGCGAAGCGCGAATAACTTCGCGCCCTCGAGGGCGCCCTCGAGTTCTCGACTGGATGCGCATGCGGAAGGTCCGTGTCGTGCCGACCCCAGCGTTGGTTACTGACACCGCGCGGATCGTTCAACCTTGAACGGTCGGCCGTGTCAAAAAAGGTCCGATCGTTCAAACGTCGGCGGATTCTGTGAAGGGGCCCTGGGACACACAGATAAATAGACACGAATTAACAGGATTTCCCATATTTCCCCATGTCTTCTGGGTTTCTGTCTTCCCCCCACTTCCCACATTTTCCCATATTTTCCTGGGGAGTCGACGATTAATTGTGTCAGTGTGTTTCTTTGCCTGCTGACGATCGTTCAACATCAACCGATGCTGGGCCGCCGCCGCCGCTCAACATGGAACGCCAGCGGCGGGGTCGCCGCCGGTCCACGCGACGCGAACCTGCCGTACACCCCCACCCCGCGGTGCCCCCCAGGAGCCCTACGAAAGTGGCGACAGCTGTGCAACCGGCAGGCCCACGGGCGCGGCCGCGAGGCCTCGACCAGATCCGCGGTACACACCCCGCTCCGCTGGGCCTGCCAGGAACGAACGAATGTGGCTCCAGTTGCGCAGTTTGCAGCCCTCCAAGCTCGGACGCTGGGCGAGGGCTGGCAAATCCGTGGCTGCCAAAACGGTCCTTCCCGGGAGAAGAAAACCAAATTCCCGGAAGAAAACTCAACGCACTAACTCATGCTACCGGAGACAAGCCCCAACCATAATATGTTTGCGGCTATAGGGCTATGGGGCTATAGGGCTATAG